CTTTCAGGGTGTACAATCCCCATAAACCCATCAAATATGGAGTAAAATCCTACATCTTGTGCGATTCTGATACAGGGTACTGTTTTAACATGAAGCCCTATTGTGGGGAAAGCGCTGCCCTGGGAGACACGGTTGTCTCTCTTCTTGATCGCCTAGTAGGTCACGGCTACAGATTGTTTATGGACAACTTATACAACTCTGTACGACTGTGTAAGCGCCTACTTGATATGAAAACCCATGTATGTGGTACAATTAGGAAAAACAGAGGTGAACCGCCGGTCATTCGAGATGTCAGAAATGCTGACCTTAGGATTGGGGTAACAATCATGCGTCACAAAGAAAATGTGATGGTCTTGGCATGGAGAGACAAACAAACAGTGAAAATGGTCACAACATTCCATCAGAACAACATGGAACGTGTTGAGGTATGGCAGAGAGGTCACCAAGAAAAAGTTGCAAAGCAAAAACCAGCATGCATTGTGGAATACAATCATGAAATGAATGGCGTTGACAAACTAGACCAAAACATTGTGTACTACCCTTTTATCAGGAAGTCACACAAGTGGACGAAGAAATTTGTCATGTATCTGTTTCAGATCAGTTTGTTCAACGCTTTTGTCATTTACAAAGCGAAAAACCCACAGGGTAATTGTAACACTCTTCTCTCATTCATCCAGAGTGTTATAAAATCATGGACCAGCCAACAGTATGCTGGTGGTGGGGAGGAAAGTGTTGAGCCCCCAACTGAAAACACTCCAAGAGCACCATACAACACTGACCCAACCAACCAGCTGAATGTCAGTTTTGCTGTTCATGAACTTGTTCCAATCCTGCCCACTCCCAAAAAGCAACACCCAACCAGAGGATGCAGAGTTTGTGTACGTAAGGGGTTGCGGAAGGAGACCTCGTTCTAGTGCAAAAGTTGTGGTGTCCCCTTACATCCTGGGAAATGTTACTCCGTGTACCACTCAAAAGCAAATTACACTGCCTAAATTTGATATATTTTACATTTATTTATAAATTTAATTTATTTTGGAAGGTTTTATATATGAAGGAAACGACATCTGAATGTATTCTGCTTGAAAATGCACTTGTTTGATAAAAATGCCTTTTTCTCAGCTTTTTGTCAAAAATGTTGTGTTTTTGACAAAACCTACCTCTGTTCAAGTGGCAATAAAAAAAAGAACAAATGAAGATAAAATAAAATCGTTTTTTTGTTTAAAAGCAGAGGCTCAGATCTTTATTTTGATATATAGCATCTTCATATATTTGTCACGAGTCTATGATGGAGGACTCAAATGCAGAAATGTGTTAACTGGTTTTATTGAAAGACAGTAGACAAGACGAGAGATGGTGGTGGGTGAGGAGGTGAATAGTCCAAACAGTAGGCAGGGATGAGGCACAAAGACAGGCAGGCTGAGAGAGCGCTGAATCCAACCCAGGATGATAGTAGGAGGGAGGGTTAGTGATGTGACATTTGAACCGAGGCATCGGAGCTTGTGTCGAGAAAAAATGGGCGTGCCAGATGAAGCCGCGATTCGAGGCTTGTGTTGTTAACGTGAAAATCACGTGACTGATGACAAACGAGGCCTCGGTTTGTGTGGATACGTCATCGGTTCGGTCTGAGTGTCGCTTCCGGATAAAGGGGTTCGAAACTCGCGCCACCTTGTGGGTGTTGTCAGGAGTAGTAGAAGCTAGAAGCAGTTGTAGTGTCAGAGAGTCAGAGATCTCTCATTGTCGTTATTGTGTCATATATGTGTTAGGGCTGTATATTATGACATTATATCAGGTTAGAATAGTTATTATTAATAATAATTGTTATTATTAATTATAGTAGCTATATTATAGTCTTGTTATATTAATTAGATAAGATTATTTGGATTGCTTTGTATTTTTGGTAGCTTAGATTTTTGGATCTGGACTGCTTTTTCATTTGGATTGCCCTTTTGGATTTGTTTGCTTTTTATGACATCTTCCTTTATCCTGGTAATGGAGCCAGCAAGAAAGAGGATATCCTCCCCTGTCTGAGCTCAACAGAAGCATCAGTATCTTCATTTATACCCGCTGGCACTGACATTTTATGTTCCCCTGCATCCTCTGTTCCTTGTGAAAGGATATTTTTCCAAGGCTGGACAGGTTTTGTCCAAGAAGAGGAATTGTCTAAACCCCAACACACTTCAAAAAAATTCATTTTCTCAATAAAAATCTATTGCAATCCTTCCTTCATCCACCCCAAACTGTGGTGTTTACAGCAGTTTACTTTATTACACTCCCTCGAGTCCCTCCACCATAAGCACTGCACTCAACACAGTCCCTTTTGTTGTTCATACTGTCACTATCCAAATTTTTTTTTTTGAATAAATTACTGTGTGTGTGACAGTTGTCTCTGTACAAGTAAATGCAGACAGAGAAAGATACACGTTTTATTTCACACCCAGGCAATGGACAAATGTCTGCACAGATCTCTTTATTATTGCAAATGAAAGGTTACAGAGAAATTAACAGTGAGAAGAAGATAAATAAATAAAACAGAGCGGGAGGGGGGCGGGTCATTGGTTCAGAATGAATTAATTTGCCTGCTATTTCTTTGCACAGTAGCTAGGTGTCACTAGTGAGCAATGCTGAATGAAGCTTCGAGTAATGAACCTTTGGGTGAAGCAATGGGCTGCGAGGTCTCAGTGGTTCAGGAAGCCTCATTTTGCCATCACTAGGGAGGGTAGACACAGAAGGCCAGCAAGAGACTGTCTTGCTGCTTGGCTGATGGTATAAGCGGCCAGGGAAGCTCAGCTTGGAGGACAAACTAGGGAAGACAAAAGACACAGCAAGCACAAGAAACGACGAGACTAGACGAGGAGATTTAAGTTAGCTCTGACTAGAAATTACTAGACTGTCAAACAAACAATGTAGCACAACGTCTATACAGAAGAACAACATCTAACGAACTGGCAACACATGAGGGCAAGAGAACACATATAAAGGGAGCTAAGAACAAGAGGAACAGGTGAGCACACTCAGACAAGGAACAGGTGACCACACTCAGGTAAACGAGGACTCAAACAAGGGAGCAGAGAACATGAGGAACAGGTGACAACACTCAGACAAACGAGGACTCAACTAGACAAGAGGGTGTGGTACAGGGAAACAAGGAGGCAGGAACAGAGGAGCACATGGCCAACACAAACAAAACCATATGTTAAAGCACAACACAAACATAGAGACATGAAACAAAGACAACACAGACAAAGCTGCCAGAGCAAGACCCTGACAATATTCATAGAAGAAAATATTCTGCGGGCCATTAAAGTTTAGCGAAAATCGTCAAAAACCCTGGCGGTGGCTGGCAACTTTTTTTTTAAAATGCTGGCGGGGAAAGAGTTAATAAAGAGTTGACTATTTAATGGGATGACCTAACTTTTTCACATGACCGGGGGTTATGAATCTATATCATTATATGATGAGAACAATAGTTTGAACTAAATGTCTTGAAAGGGTATAATTTTAAATGCTGTGTTGAAATTATGAATATAAGTGTTTCTTTGTTGTGACTGATGGCTTCCGGTTTTCTGAGAACGATTTTATTGGTTGTTGATTGTTTTACGTCACTATGACTACGCTAGGACTTGCGATAATATCAAACATGTTTAATATGAAAGACTAGAGAAAGACTGGCATAAATCGGGTCGCCGACTGCAGATTATCACCTCACATTTAACGATCGAGACGACGGGAGCGCGCCGAGACTCCAGTAAGATTCCTAAAGACTGCCGGTCTTTAGTCTGGGACTGTGAAAATCCTTTGGTGTACGCCCGGCATAAGAAGTACGGAGCCCCGCACAATAAGAGAGCTACAAATGCAGTAACTCCAGTGCGATGCTGTCACTCACAGCTATGGTGTTGGGTTTGACGAGCTCTTTAGAGCGCATGTGCAGCGCCTCCCGCTGTTCAGCCGCTGCTATGACACTTCTGCTGAGACGATTCACTCCGTTCACACTGTCCTGCATGCGCTGCCAATCAGATTTGGACAAAACTAGGTCTGCTTCGTATTTCTCTATCTCCCAACTCACAACTGTATGCATTAGACAACAAATTTCCAAGTTATTATAAAAGCCATTCCTGATAAGCTGGAGTCGATGGTTGCGGTCAACACCTCTCATATTGCCGGATTGAGAGAAAAGCTTAACGCCGTGTGTGATGATGTGAATGAGGTGAAGACCAAAGTTTCCCAAGTCGAGTCATCACTGTTGAAAGAGAACAATCGGATCGGCGCATTGGAGTCTCGCATCACTGAATTGGAGCGGTATTCCAGACGTTGGAATTTGAAATTACACTGCCTGTCAGAAAATATCGATGAAAAAAATGTAAGGAGAGAACTGGTTGGCATTTGTCAAAAAATTACTGCCAGAGCACGCTGACCATCTTCCGGATGTGATCGACACAGTGCATCGTGTTGGTGTGAAGAAAATTCTGCCCGCGGTGTAATCATCCAGTTCTCTTCGCCTATACACAGAGCAGCAGTACGGGCGGCAGCCAAAAACTCCGCTTATCTACGGGAAAATGGTCTGCGTTTTAGAGAGGATCTTTGCAAGGCCGACAGAGATGGTAGAATGAAGTTGTGGCCGTTAATCGACGAGGCACGGAAAGCAGGAAAGGTTGCCTACTTTGTAGCTGGTCGGGCCTTCGTGGAGAAAAAAGAGATCTTTCCGCCAAGCTGAGTTCTCTCAACTTTGAGATAAGGTGTTCTGTTTACATGCTTGTTAAAAAATAAATAAATTTGTTTTTCATCGCCACTTGTTTTTTTCCTAGCTATTGTTCATATTTTGTCCGGTTATACCTACGAAACTACAGTTGATGTGGCACTTTTTGTTCTCATCAAAATATTGTTCAAGTGAATTCAATTTTTATTTTGATGTCTTTAACTTTAATTTCACTCAATGCAAAGAATCGAAATAGCCTTACCTTGTGTCAAATAGTAAACTGAGCAACAGGAGAACCGGATATTAATTAAAAAAACGCTTGCACGCTCTTGCCGTATCTACGGACTGACCGCTTGTTCTTTAGGAGCGGGTAGATGTTTCTCCCTGCCTTCTCGGCTGTTTCGATGACTTGATTGGCGTATTTCTGGAACTGGGTTTCCTCCTCAACAATGAGAGCGGTGTTCTTTGCCACAAAGTCTTTCAGTTCTTTTTTCGCACGACGATTTGTGGTCTAATAACGTAAGACACGAACATGGAGGCCTTTCACTCTGTCGGTCTGGTATACTGCTTGGTTTCTGCTTTCTCAATGGCCTCCTTTCGTATCTGGGCCTGGTATTTCTCTTCTTCTATGTCGAGACGTTTCTTCTCCTCTTCTTCGATCGCCTTCAGCTTGCTGTGGACGCCAGCAGCGTAGGCGCCGGTGCCGTACTTTTGCAATCAGGCGTAGACAACGTAAACCATCCCGTGAGTTTCTTCTCTAAGAAATGTAATTCTGCCCAGCGAAAGTACTCCACTATCAAGCAAGAGACTTTGGCTTTAGTCCTGGCTATTCAACACTTCGAAAGTGTATTTAGGTTCTACGGTACATCCAGTTAAGGTCTATACTGACCATGACCCACTCAAATTCCTCAGTCGCATGTACAATTCAAATCGTAGGTTAATGCGCTGAAGTCTATTGCTTCAACCTTTTAACCTCCAAATTGTGCATGTCCGGGGAATAGACAATATTATCGCAGATGCGTTGTCTAGGGTGGATGCTTAATAGTATTAAAAAAAAATTTACTTGGAAAAAAACAAAAACGTTTTGTTTATTTTGAAAATGAACTTGCATGTGTCCTTATTTACTGAATATGGTCTATACATTTAGGTTATAGTTAATAATAAAACAACACTATATGTATTGTGACGGATCGTCTGCCTCTCCCTCGTAATCAGCGCCACCCCATCCCTTAATTCGCCGCCCTTCGCCAGGTTCCCGACTGGAGTGGGTGTAATTGGAGAGGAGGGGCGCTGATGAGGAGAATTGGCGGCGTGTGATGAGGCACACCTGACGAGAATGAAGCCTCATCACCGCCGCCTGTTAAATGCTGAGCGCGCCTCTCCTCGGGAGACCGGTCTCTTCCCTGTGCATGCACACTGTTGTCCTCGTGGGTCCAGGAAGGGAGCGCAGAGGGATTCCCGCGCTGCCAGGCGGTCTGAGCACAGAAGACGCGTGACGCCGCTGACGGACCAGGACGCCAAAGCCGCCACTTCCCTCCGTTGTCGTGGCCGGGAGAGGACAGCTCGTGATGTGACAAAGCCGCCGCCCACTCATTCCTCGACCCAAGGAGACAGGGAAGACGCGTGTGACTGTCGGACACCGCCCCCTTACCTGGACCCATCCCACCTCTTCACTAACCTTCCTTCACGATTACCTGGCACAACGAGGACACCAGATCCCCTTTTATTTTAACACTTTATTTCCCCCTTTTGGACATTTTATGTTTAATTAATTTAATAAATGCCTCTCCGAGGCTTGACACCACTCCCACTGTGTCTGTCGTTTGCTCCTCCCGCCACAGTATATATATATATATAGATTGTTTTGGGATTTATTTTAATTTATTGGGCTTGCTAACCTAATGTAAGTCTGTAGCAATACTAGGTATTGCGTCGCGCATAGTTGCGATTTGCCTGTGACTTAACCATATACGCCAAAATAATACATTCCTGTGTAATTCTAACAACTTTTCGCATGCAGATACGCCTTGAACGAGGTAGTGATTATTTGTAGCTGGAACTCTATTGTCTGGGTTGGCTCAAACATTGAGCTGAAACACAGAATTCGTGAGTAAAAATGAGTGTTCTCATGTTCCAGGTATGGCGACAGGTCACCATTTCGGGGTGGGGGTATTACGTCCCCCAGCTCTGGTCTTTGTTCCTATACATGTGTTTGAGCGCAATGTCTCTTCCCCAATTACAGATGAGCCACACCTGAGCGAAGCCTACTTGCGCTATAAAAGGCTCCTGGGACCACACCTGAGCGCGCACACAGAGCCTGAGAACAGAGTCGATGCACAGCCGTGCTTTCTGTCTTTTGAGTGACTACCGTCCAGCCGGCAGTAGAAAGCGTTCCGCCTTTGTATTTTTTTTTTTGTTAACCTACCTATTATTTGATAACCATTCTGTTAAATAAACATACCCCTACTTTTGATACGAGCTGATCTGTGTGCGTCTCTCCTTTGTTAAGGGTGGTGTCCGTCTGCCCGTAACATAGTGGAGGCTCGTCCGAGATCAATAGTTTAAGTCGGACTTTAGTCTTTAGTGTTAATTGCGGAACTTTTGAACGCTACAACATTTTGGTGAGTATTCTGGTGGGCAATTTTGATTGTCTGTTCCTTTGTTTAGTCGACTGTTTATTTTAGTTTGGTGGATATCTCAGGAAGGGGCACGTGGGACGCCTCGAGCTGAGTAAGCCACTGAAGATTGCGTAGGTATTTAGGATTTTTTTTTGTTGGTTTTATGTGTAGTTAGTTAGAGAAGTTGGACAACATTTTGCCTATCAGAATACCTTTTAGTTTAGTTGTATAGCTTGTGATATATTGTGGCATATCGCCTATTTAGTGAGCGCTGGTACTCTGTATGTACTAGCGTATTGGTTAAATTTGTGGATGGACATTAAAATTTGTGGTCGTTTGTAGCCTATATTGTGCTTTTCGTTTGACCACTTTAGATATTCGCTACTTTGTAGCTTTGTTGCAGTTAAACTGCTTTGGTGAGTGTTTATTTGTACTTGATTTTGGTGCGCTTTAAGCGTCTTTTCGCGTTATAAATGGCAACAGAGGAAGCTACCTATTATTTGATAACCCTTCTGTTAAATAAACATACCCCTACTTTTGATACAAGCTGATCTGTGTGCGTCTGTCCTTTATGTTAAGGGTGGTGTCCGTCTGCCCGTAACACCAAGTTATTAAAAAAAGCTCTGATTATTATACATTATTTTCAGATATTTTGTTGTGCAGTATTTTTTATTTATTTATTTTTTATTGAAGGAAAAGGAAAACAATACAACAGTAACACAATACAGAATTTCCATTCACAGATACAATTTATCCTTTCCCCCCTTTTTTTTTTTTTTCACCCACTTTTTAAACATATATGTACATGTACACGGACACATATACACATAAAAAATAAAAATAAAACAAAAACAAAAAAAAACACTCTAATAAGAATTATTAGAAATAAGTAAATTAGATCACAGAGTGTCGTGTTAGAAATAATAAACAACCCCCCTCCCACTCAGCTCAACATGACCAACACACATATTACTGGTTAATTATGCAATACAAACAGTACAATAATAACAGGCACACATTCAATTGGGTAGTACCTTTAAATTTGTGAAATAGGAAATAAAGGGTTGCCATTTAAGGAAAAATTTGACTGTACATCCTCTCAATGTATATTTAATTTTCTCAAGTTTTAAAAAATACATGATGTCTCTGAGCCAACGGGAGATAGAAGGATATTTAGCAGACTTCCAATTTAGCAATAAGGAGCGTCTTGCTAGTAAGGATGTGAAAGCTATGATGTCCTTTTGTGTACGGTTAAGTGCCATTGAGGGGTCAGGAATCCCAAATATAGCAATCAGAGGACAAGGTTGTAGATTTACCCCAAGAACAGAGGACATAATATTAAAATAAGCCACCCAGAAATCTACCAAATCAGGACCAAAAAAAAATCATGTGGCTAAGATGACAAGGGGAGCCATGGCATTTATCACATTTGTCTTCCACTTCCGGATATATTTCAGATAGTCTAAGCTTAGAGAAATGTACCCTATGTAAAACCTTGAATTGAATAAGTCCAAGACGAGCACAAGAGGTGGTAGAACGTATCCTCTCTATGGCCTGTTCCCAAGACTCCTCCTGTATTTGTATTCCCAGTTCCCTTTCCCATGTACCCTTAAGTTTGGCATTTGAATGGTCGCTAAAAGCTAAGATAATGTCATATAGCTTTGAAATGATTCCCCTGTGATGAGGGACAAATGAAAGCATGGTTTCCCACCAATGCACTGGAGGTAAAGAAGGGAAATTAGGGAAACACTTAGCCACAAAGTTGCGAGTTTGAAAATAGCGAAACAGATGAGTAACAGGGAGTTCAAAGCGAGATGACAGATTGGTAAAGCTATCAAAGACACCATCTACATATAAATCTCTGTAATTGCAAAACACCCTTGTCATACCACAGTAAAAATGTTGAGTCCGAAAGCGATGGAGGAAATAAATGGTTGTTATTGATAGGACCCAAGGAAGATGCATCTACAAATTTAGTGTCGTCTAAATTGATACCAGATTTTGAGTGTGTTAAACCACTTGATTATCAGTGTATAGAGAAGGTTTCGTAGGTAAAGAGGAATAAAGTAGAGCAGGTATAGAAGATCCCCTACAGGATGATAGTTCTAGTTTACACCAAGAGGATCCAGAGGATTTTAACCAGTAGCAAAGTTTATGGATGTGAGCCGCCCAATAGTAAGTTAAAAAATTAGGTAATGCAAGTCCTCCATTAAGTCTGCATCTCTGCAGTAGAGTTTTACGAATCCTAGGTGATTTTCCGCCCCAAATAAAAGAACAAATTATCTTATCAAATGAGTCAAAGAAACGTTTTGGCAAAAAAAGAGGAATTGACTGGAATAAAAAAAGAAATTTCGGTAAAATATTAATTTTAACAACATTAATCTTGCCGATTAGTGAAAGGGGGAGGTTACCCCATCTTTGAATATTAGATGTAATCCTAGAGATAAGGGGAGTGAAATTCGCAGACGCAAGGCTAGATAAAGAACGAGTCACGTTAACACCTAGGTATTTGAACCCTGATGGACTAAATCGAAAAGGCAAATCTGACTGTTGCAACTGACATGCTGCAGTATTAATGGGAAAACACTCAATTTTCTCCAAATTTAATTTGTAACCTGAAAAAGCGCTGAAGTTCTCCAGAATACCCAAAACCGCAGGGATGGAAAGTGTAGGATCAGTTATATACAATAACAAATCATCCGCATAAAGTGATAATTTATATTCGAATCCATTACGGGTGATACCTTTGAATAAAGGGGAAGATCTTAATGTAATTGACAGAGGCTCGATAGCAATAGCAAAGAGCAAAGGTGATAAAGGACAACCTTGGCGAGTTCCACGTCCAAGGGCAAAATAATCAGAATAAACATCATTAGTATGAACACTAGCCTTGGGGGATGAGTAAAGGAGGCGAATCCAAGAAATACATTTTTCACCAAATCCAAATTTTTTCAGAACTGCAAACAAGTATTCCCACTCTACCCTATCGAATGCCTTTTCTGCGTCTAAAGAAATCACAAGCTCAGGAAGTTCAGCCGAGTGTTTTGAGTAAATTATATTGAAAAGTGTACGGGTATTAAAAAACAGTTGACGTCCCTTTATAAAACCATTTTGCTCATCAGATATAATATGAGGAAGCACATTCTCTAAGCGGGATGCAATTACTTTAGCCAATACCTTGACGTCAGCATTAAGCAAAGACAATGGTCTGTAAGACCCACAGGAGGTCGAATCTTTGTCCTTTTTGAGAAGGAGAGCGATAGTGGCTTGTGTCAAGGTTGGTGGTAATGAACCACTTTCTAGGGATTCATTGAATACGGATAAAAGTAACGGTGCCAATTTGCCAATAGATGTTTTAAAAAATTCAATCGGAAACCCATCGGGGCCTGGGGCTTTATTAGATTGCATAGCATTAATTGCTATTAATACTTCTTCAAGAAAGAGTGGAGAGTCCATTTGCGTGGCAGTATTTGTATCAATGACAGGGTTCGAAAGATTCTGAAGAAATGTATTCATTTTAGTGTTGTCAGTAGGAAATTCAGATTTATATAATAAAGAGTAAAATGATTTAAAAATAGCATTAATTTCCAAGGGGTCTGTAGTAATAGTGTCATACGTGTTTTTAATAGTAGGTATCAGACGGGAAGTGGCCTGCCGTCGTAACTGATGTGCCAGTAAACGACTTGCCTTGTCGCCATATTCGTAGTATGAGCCACGGCTGCGTAATAGCAAGCGCTCTGCCTCTTTAGTTGAGATGAGATCAAATTCTGCTTGCAGATCAAGACGCTGCTTAAGAAGTTCTGGAGAAGGGTTCAGCGCGAATCTTTGATCAAGGTCCCCAATCACAGATGTAAGTGCATTGGGCCTGGCATTAATCTTTTTATTAGAAAGAGCAGAATAAGAAATAATTTGACCTCTCAGGTAACATTTAAGTGTCTCCCACAGCAATGAATATGAAGATGAGTCATTAGGATTGAAAGACAAGAACTCATCAATAGAGTTTGAAATGAATTTGCAGAATTCTTGGTCTGCCAAAAGGAGAGAGTTAAATCTATAGGTAGAAAGTTGAATATCTAATAGTAAAGGTGAATGGTCGGAGATTACAATACCTAAATAGTCCGAAGAATTAACACATGAATTAAGCGTACGGTCAATAAAAAAATAATCAATCCTAGAATATGAATGGTGCACCTGGGAAAAGAAAGAGAATTTTTTAATAGAGGGGGTTACGAGATCTCCATGGATCAATAAGACCATACTGTTTCATAAAATCAGAGAAAGTTTTAGACATAGCAGATTGAGATAGATTTCGAGGATTAGACCGATCTAAGATTGGGTCGAAAACACAATTTAAATCCCCACCGAAAATCAGCAGGTGTGTATTCAAGAAGGGGATGTTACTCAGCAATCTGTTAGCGAATTCAACATCATCGAAGTTCGGGGCATATACATTCACCAACAAAACCTTTTTTTGCATCAGGGTACCAGCAACCATGAGGTATCTGCCATTCCTATCAGCAATAACGTCAGTGGATGAGAACTGGACTTTTTTGTTAATTAGAATAGCGACTCCCCTAGCTTTTGAATTCAAGTTTGAGTGAAAGACTTGACCTACCCAAGGGCAATCTAACCTAACATGGTCTTTAACACGAAGAATGAGTCTCCTGCAAAAAACTAAATCAGAGTTTAAACGTTTCAAGTGTGCAAAAACCTTAGATCTCTTAACAGGATTACCCATACCTCTGATATTCCAACTGATGAATCTGAGAGGTGTGCCTGACCCAGCAATGCTGGGATCTATATTGCCATTAACCATTTGAAAAAAAAAGAAGAATTTATTTTTGAAAATGATCATATAGAGCCGAGGTGGGCCCCCCTCCCCTCCCAACATACCCCTAAACACAAATGCACCCAAAGTCCCCATATAACCACAGAACAAAGGAGACAGCAGTGCTTCCCACAGTAAACAAAAGTTGTCCACAACACCGTTGAACAACTCGGAGACCATGCAAACCAAACAAAAGTAAGAGAAGAAAAAAAGAGAAAAAAACTCCCGCCGATCTCAACACTATTTAACGTTAAACATATGCGCATGAATACAGTAAAGCACGCGAAAATACAAATAACAGTGGGCCCTCAGTCCTGTGCAAATAGATGCAGAAAGCATAAAATGAGGTAATGTTGATCAGATCTAGTAAGTGCAGCAAGCTAGAAAACCACCTAATACTAAACAAATTAAATGGACTGCTGTATTCACAACCTCTAAGGAATAGGCCTACTAGAACATAGATCAGAAACGCTGTTGGAGCTCACCCAGGAACCAAAGTTTTGACAAAGTCGCTGGCTTCCTCCGCAGAAACGAAATCCTTCTCAACACCGTTGTATGTGATGCGAAGACGCGCTGAATGAAACAGACCATATCGAGCACCGTCAATGCCACGAAGTTGACGTCTGACTTCGTTGAACGCAGCCCGAGCCCGAGCTATCTTGACAGTGTGGTCAGGGAAAACTGAGACGGTCACGTCTCTGACTTTAATCTGTCGGAGCTCTCTCGCGCAGCGCAGAATGTCAACACAGTCACTGTAATAATGAAATCTGCACACAATGGCTCGTGGACGATCACCAGGCTTGGGTTTGGGTTGGAGGGTCCGGTGGGACCGGTCCAAAAGCGGCTCCTTTTCCAGATTGAACGCTTCCTTCAGTAAGGCGGCCACAGCAGCCGTGGTACAGGTGTCAGGGCCCTCCGGTACTCCCACTATCCTGATGTTGTTACGCCGTGATCTGGACTCCAAGTCTTCATATTTATTTTCCAGCATGGCTATGTTAGCTGTGAGGCGCTCGATAGTTGTTTTCATCTCGGCGATGTCATCTGAGCACTCGGTGAGTGCGTGCTCCATCTCTCCGACCGTACCTTTTAGCTCAGACATGGTAGCATCGGTAGCAGCTTTATCATTCGCCAGCTGTGACTTCACCGCTTGCAGGTCAAGCTTAATAGTAGGCAAAGCATCCCCGAGAGTATCCTGGAGTTCCTTTTTAAAAATATCAGCAATATCTTTCCTCACCGAGGCCAATAACTCGAGCTTGAGTGCAGCGATGTCAAGGTTGGCATCCGTCGAGGTGCCCTCGACCTCTGAGGTAACAGATGATCCACTCGAAGACGCGGTCGCAACTTGCAGACCAGGCCGCAGTTGTGTCTGAATAGTTTTGCGAGTTTTAGATATCTTTCCAGCCATCTTATGCAGTCCGGAGTTAGACTTTTTAGTAAAAAATGTTGCGGAGTAAGAATATACTAAATATGTAACGAAAAAGCGCAGAAAAATAACAATATTAACTGAAATCGGCAGGAGCTAACAAACTCACGTCCTACTCCATTGATGCTCGGCAGCGCCCCCCTGTTGTGCAGTATTTTGAATTCTTTAAAAACCTTGTTTTCTCGAGCCTTTTCTCCGACCGTTCTGGACGACACCTGTTCTATCTAAGGCTGTTGACATTTTAACCCTCTGGGGTCTGAGGGGTTTTCTGGGTCCCTGAGGTGTTCTGACATGCTCTAACATTTGCGCTTATTTCTGTTACTTGTGACATTTTCATGGCTAAAGTCTTATTACACTCGCCTTCAGCTTGCTGTGGACGCCAGCAGCGTAGGCGCCGGTGCCGTACTTTTGCAATCAGGCGTAGACAACGTAAACCATCCCGTGAGTTTCTTCTCTAAGAAATGTAATTCTGCCCAGCGAAAGTACTCCACTATCAAGCAAGAGACTTTGGCTTTAGTCCTGGCTATTCAACACTTCGAAAGTGTATTTAGGTTCTACGGTACATCCAGTTAAGGTCTATACTGACCATGACCCACTCAAATTCCTCAGTCGCATATACAATTCAAATCGTAGGTTAATGCGCTGATTGCTTCAACCTTTTAACCTCCAAATTGTGCATGTCCGGGGAATAGACAATATTATCGCAGATGCGTTGTCTAGGGTGGATGCTTAATAGTATTTTTTTTAAAAGCTGAACGCACTTTCTTTCATTTGTTGTATGTATGTGTATTGGAGTGCTATTCCTTCTTCTTTAGCTTTTTGAGCTTGAAGTTTTTGCTTCTCCATGAAGATTTGATCTGCTTCCTTCTTTGCATTCAGCATCTTCAGAGCTTTCTGTTCCAGCTCTTGCCTCTGATATAGAGTTGAGAAAAATGTTTATTTCAATAAATGCATTTCAAATTCTATATATAAACCGTGTGATGCTCATAAACCCAGCATCACTGTGGTAAAATTAAGCAATAAGCCCCGCGAAGCCGTGTTTTACAGTGGAACAGCTGAGGGACGTTGTTAGGCATGACGCGGAGCGGAGATTTAAAAATGTTTACATGTCGTTAGCCTCATAGCTATTATGCTATGAGACTAACGATGTATAAAAACATTAGGAATAGGTAATTTACCCTGGATTCTCTGTGTGCAGAGATAGATTTCAACATGGCTTCATGTTTTTCTTCTTTCTCGCGCTGCACTCGGGCCCGTCTGGCCTCACGTTCAGCGACTGCTTTTGCGATGATATCTTCCTCATTGCTGATTTTTTCCTGCTTCTGCACGGCTAACTTCTGTATAACAGTCTCTCTATGTCTTTGACGCTCTAAAAGGCAAAAATAAAGACAAATACAAGCCCAGTTCTGAGACAGTGGAAAGAATTATACTTTCTCCAGGCTTCCCACTCAGTGAACTTCCATTAATTCAATAACCTTCCCAGTTAGATGTGATTCATGAATGAGCAAGTTGTAAGAATGTGGATGTCAAATGATATGTCAATGTTCCCAAAATACCTTTCACAGACAAATTAAAGATTGGAACTGGTTTGCAAGCACGTTTGAATTTGAAACAAACACTTAGAGCAGTTTCTAGTTGATTAAATACACCCGAATAACTAAGTTAGCAAAACTCAAATAATTTGAGGTATTCAGTTACATCAAATTGTTTAAGTTAAGAAATTGAATGTGTAAGTAAGCAGAGCTTGCAGATTTTTGTTTTGTAATCATATATTTTAATTGCTTTTAACTTGAAATATCTGAGTAAGATAATTCATACACAACTTAAAACTCTCATGTAATCTCAACTTCAATATTTTTAGTAGTGGAAACTTGGCTAGATTTAACAAGCCAATTCAATAAGTGCTACCTATAGTATCAGCATATCATAGCCCTTGCGGAATGAGTACATCAACTTAAAACATTTAACACACACTGTTCTCAAACCAAACTCGTCACCGGCCATGATGGTAACTCCCCAAAAAACCCAACATAACAGAAACTCTTCTAAACTAGCATAACAAAACATTAAACACTACTAAATCTCCCACTTAACATTAATCTGGCACAAAAACCATTATATGACACTTAATTTTAGCATTTACTCTCCCTTTTGAGTGTCATTGCAAAGCATGCTGGGAAATAAAAATCCCAGCCCAGATTCAGTTAAATTTAAGTTTGTCAAAATTAAAAGAAACAAGTTCATAGAACTCAAAACAACGAAACAATTCAACTTACTTAAAATGTGTCAGTTTTGTGAACTCAAAAGAAAAAATAAATGTTAAAATATTCATAAAATTGTAAGTATCGTATATTAATTTGATGGAACTAATTTGTATAATGTGAGTTGGCCCTACTCAAAACAATGGATTATTTTGAGCGTTAGGGTTTACAGTGTTAGGAAGCTAAAAATAAAAATATTAGATGAGAAACTTTAACCTTGAACTTAGAAATGTTGCCTTGGCAACTAATTGAAATAACATTTCACTTTGTAAGTTGAAGTACTAAAATTACTAAAACTGAAGTAAATATAAAATAAAACTCAAAAGAAATAAAATAAAAAAACAGGGGGAAAAATGACAAAAGCACACAATTCTGAAAATAATAATAAAAGGTCATTCAAAACATTGCTAAATACTGTATACTATAAATAATACTAAAATATCACTGGAAGCCCATGATCTCTAGAGATTCACAGTTTTAAAGTAACAAAAATGCCTAAAATGCGCCCAAAGTTATTTTATCTGTTGTCTAAGCATAATAATATATAAATGTTAGTATGGGTTGGAAGTGTTTAACATAATTAATCAGCATGCTGTGTTTTTGATGCGTGTTAGCCCTCATAAATGTGCAAAAATGCTCCTGAAAATAAAGAAGTTAATTTCTGACACTAATGAGTGTAATTAATATCCACCACATGACGCATTTCCATTGTCTTATGTACAATACCTAAATGTACAATACCTAAATGTTTCCTCCTGTTTTTCTCTCCTCATTCTCGTCACTTTTTCGCTCTGGCTGGCGATCTGCTTTCTCTTCTCCTCCTCTTCCCCTTGCCTCCGAGCCTCCGCTGCTTTTGTCAGCTCTCTGTTGGTCAAATGGTCCTGATGGAAGACAGAAGAAGGGATTTCAAAACCGCATCTGATTCGATCTGCTTTTACAGCGTGTAAGGACTCAAGGGCGGATCTAATCCGTGGGGAATTTGCATATCATAATTAATAATTGGTAATTAATAATTATTCATGCATGTTTGGATTAGATCAGTCTTACATGTTAATAAATCTCCCGATAAGGGAGGATCTGTCATTTTACCTGCATGCATGCATGTGAATCCTTGAAATTAACCACAAGTTGATTGCAATTAATTACACGGACCACGTTTCACAAAACAGGTAAAATGAATTAGCTCAATTGTCAGTATAATATTTGTGGGGATCCACAATATCATCGTACTTTATAGGATTTCAGGAAATGCAATTCTCTGGCCAGAAGAATTGGGTTTCCCGCCCTATAAACACATACTCTTTAAGGTATATTTAATTTTAGTAAGCTTGTAGCAAGATCTTTGGCACTTAAGGGACTTGAAGCTGAGCAAAGAGACAGTACATCAATCAAATAAATATATATAATTAATTTAATAGAGGCATGACTACTTATGTATTTACTACGGTTACAGGGGATATATGCATTTACAAACATAATAAACAAACAAAACACGATAATAAGACATCAATGAACAAGAAATGCGTAAAGTTTGGACAATGGATAACTTACAGGCGTGAGCGAGTAAGAGGGAGAGAGAGAGGGAGGGGGAGAGAGAGAGAACATTAGCAGAATTCCTCCTAAGACATTCACCTCTCTGATTACAACACAAAACATCATCTTAAAGCTTCTTAGAAGCTCTATAAAGAGATTATACTTGCACAAGTTATGTTATGGTCTCTCTGTGTCGAGGCATTCCTGTACGGCCCTGTCTGGCCGCGTGAGCTGAGTCCTTTGTGTGTGAGGAAGCGTCACGTGGGTTGCTTGGCGCGCGTGTTGAACGGAGGTTCAAAGTCTTTGGGGTAACATTACCAAAGGGAAATAGTTCGGCTAAATTCGTTTCACTTCGTGGAAGTGAACTGAGTCAACTACGGAAAACAAAATTTTGACTAACAAAAAAGAAATAAAGATCTCTACGGGGAAATCACGCGGAGTTAACGTTACATCTTTGCATGGCTGGTGAAGAAGCGCGTGTGCATCTCTCGGTCCGTCGTGTCACGTGGTCACGTGCGCGTGTTTCTCCTTCATAGCGAGGCGCGCTCGTTTTTAAAGGCTTGTAGTTGGATTTGCTGAAGAGATTTGTCACGCGGTGTTCCTTTCACTTCGTGGAAGTAAACACTGAGACTAATCTAAAACTGAAAAACACAAACTAAACTAGAAACAAATTAAAGAAAGGCGAAGAGCTCGCCTGGAGGCGAGATGTTACATTATGACACGAGGACAAGCGAAGGAAGAGGGAGTTAAGCCTGCGGTTTGTCCTTTTGAAGACCTGACGTTTCCGCCTTCTTTTGGAAGAGGGTCCAATCAGGAGCTGTCCCTTTGGAGGGAGATTTTATGACCCTTTGTGTTATAACCAGGCATTTAAATCTCTAGTTTCATTGGGTGTTCAAGAGAAGAATCTTCACAATTCTTATAATACTAATGTGTCACAAAGTTTAGCAAAATGTAATGTCAATTAACAAATGGGGAACGAAGATTGGAGTTTATCGAGACCAAACTTGCCACAAATGGATTTGGTTAAACCTTAGTTGGTAAAGTTTGAAACATTATCCCATTAGAGTTGTCGAGAAACATAGACCAAACCACAGAAAGGCAACTCATGAAATAGGGAACTTAGATACATTTGTTCATACAATTCTCAAGGGGATATATAATAGAATATATCCATGAATGCAGAATTCATTTCTCCTTCTTAGTTAAATCCAGAGAGAGTGAGACACAACAATTCTGGGGATCGACAGTTATATGTAAAGTGCATAATGATAAAGTCACAGTTATTCCAATGTAACCCGGACAACAAACACATATAAAACACATTGAATATTTCTGGTTAAATGTTTTTTAAAAAGAGAAGTTTCTTTCTCTTGAGCATCAAATTCCAAGTCAGTCATAAAAATGTCTCGTAACTGGACACCACGCTCTGTCCTGAGCGGGCTTCACTTGTGGGGGATGCGTGTGTGTGTGTGCGTGTGTGTGTGTGTGTGTGTGTGTGTGTGTGTGTAAATTTACATTCCAGGCTTTTTGGGTCTTTAGCAGGATGTACTTAGTTATTCAGATTCACCCTCGCCCAGTCCTTACAAGTGTGAATGTTGTCCAACAACCGGCTTACACGAAAAGCATTCATTCTTTTTCTCTTCACTTCTCGATTCTGGCGCTCTTTGATGGCCTGTTCCCTCAGATGAAGATCTCGGAGTTGCTTCATCTCTTCAGCCTCCCTTCTCCTCTCCTGCTCCTTCTTCATGTCATGCTCCTTAACCCTAATAAAGGAGGAAACGTCAGACACATTGACACATTAAGGTGATTCCCAGCTAACAGGGAATGTTCTCAGAACTTTAGATACGGTTCTCTCAAAGTTACGAACAAACGTTCTTCTAGTAACATTATGTTTGTTCAAAGTTATCTGGTCTTTAATCATGTTCTCAAATCATTAACACAAAACAGAACTTATACATAATTCGTGGAGTGTTTTTTTTTTACAGAAAAAGTAACAACATTAACCCTCTGGGGACCAGAAACGCGCCGGCGCGTTTTGCTCGTTTTTTTCACATAGCAGAAAAATAGACTTAAAGTACTACCATCATTTCTGTTCATATAGAGTTAAGAAATATGAGAAAATAATCTGTTAAATGTCTACTTTTTTATGTGCCCACATACAATCGAAATAAAATATTGTGCTTTTGTAAAATAAAGAAAATAAACAGGGTGTGCGTTCTGCCTCTCAGTCACCGTGAACTTTTTTTCTGGAGCACGTCTCTAAACATAAAAAAACCCCAGCAAATACTATTCACCCAGCCATAAGCAATATATCTTTTAAATCATTTGAGTTTGTACTTTTAAATGATCCGATTCAAAACTAAAATTAATATTCTCCGTTTATGTCATCTATATAAAAAGAGAGACGTGTCAGCCCGTCTCATTACCGTTCTCTCAGCTGATTATCTCTGGTAATGTGACACGCCCACGGAGAGCACGCGCTATTCAAACGCAAATATGTGAAGCAACACATTGAGACGCGTTAACGCCCGTAAACTCTGAAAACACACATTATTTTTTAGTCAGATTAATCTACTGTCGTCTTGCGCGGCTATATGAGGAACAATCCTGGGACAATTTACCACAGAACAAGTGCTGGTTTATTTTCACTTCGAGGAGCAACAGATTCAGCTGAGAAGTAAGTGTTTTATGCAAGTGCTTTGTTCTAATCGCGATATAGAATAACGTTAGTGTCTGTAAACGGAAAAATAGCATACTGTTTAAATGTAAATCATGTTTGTGTGTGTGTGTGTGTGTGTGTGTGTGTGTGTGTGTGTGTGTGTGTGTGTGTGTGTGTGAGTGAATGAATGAATGAATGAATGAATGAACGCACAGATACGTACTGTTACAGACTTTATGCTAAAATAGACATCAAATAAGCTTTTGTTAGGAGTTTCTGCTCATATGTTAAATATATAGTATGTTTTGTCAATAAACTAATCAACTAAGCTATATCAAAATAATGAATCCTCAACTTTGAAATATGTATGATCAAACTAAGACATTTATGGAAAAAGACAATTTTCTTTTCAAGATGCTTCCAACTCTAACTTTGAACTGAAAAAAAAAACCATGTCTATATGGTGAAGGGTGTGTGATAGAAGTGTCCAGACGTATGCACCCTGTATTTTCCTTATATAAATCCAAACAATCTAAAAGCCATTCTTTTTTAAATCTCCTCATTCTTTGTGCAAGGCTCCTGTAATGATATGGCCTGATAGCACCTAATAGGGCCATATTATAGGAGGGTCTTTGTCTTTCTCAGGTGTGAAATGCCATACATATTAATGAGAGATCATGCCTCCTCGCATAAAGCTTTCTCAAACAAAACACGTCATTAAAAATGTAAAATACTTTATTGACTTATCTGAATGAGTAGTCAGGATGATTCTCACATAGTTTTGGAGCAAATATTCTAGACTATGTGATACAATTTTCAAAAGTCTTGTGAAGAAATAATCAATATGTGTTTTGTGGTCTTATTTCAGCAACTTTCATTTTTATTTTTTCCAATAACCACGCATAAACATTATTCTCTTAAAATACAAACATGTACATACATGTTGCTCACTTATGGTAGTCCCGTCTGTGCTATATAGAGTAAATTTAAACCTTTGCCATTAACATGTTTATAAATAACTGAAAAAAGCACAAATGTCAGTGCATGTCAAAACATCCCAAGGGCCCCAAAAACACTCTGATCCCCAGAGGGTTAACATAACACTACTTTCCATTAAACTAACTAAGTAATACAATTAGTTAATTTTAACGTAACACAATATTGTAATGTATTACTTTTAAAAGTAACTTTCCCCAACACTGTTCAAAAGTAACATTCCCACAGTGTTTGAAGAATAAAAAAAAATAAAAACATTTTAAATGTTGTTGACACTTTGAACGTTTAGGGAACATTCAGAAATAACATTTATATCTTAATTGGAACGTTATCAAAAAGTCATTAGAGCATATTTGTGTTAGCTGTGTATGCACTGAAGCATAAATGCACTTTAATTTCTCCTTACTGTAGTTTCAAGCACTCAGAAATGGCCAGTTGGTCTCGTTTTCTCTGCAGTGCTTTCTGTCGCTCCTGCTGGACCGCCTGCTCTTCTCTGCAAGCCATTCGGGCCAAGATCTCTCTGTCCACGGCTCTGCTGGCGTTCTGCCTCATGCGCTTGAGCTCGATCTGAGCCTCTCTTTCCTTCAGGACCTCCGCCAGCCTCAGAGCGCTCTAGAACAACAAGAGGATCGTTTCTACTAACATTTCACCACAGAAAAACAGTTGCATTTAATATTCAACAATATCATAGATCTGCCTAAAGCCTAGTTCACACTACATGATTTTAAAACGTCGGGCTGAACTGTCCGGTTCACACTACATGACTTGCTTTCTGTGAAATCAGGAGTGTTCAAGTTGTTGAGCTGTTCACACCACACGACACAACGTGATTGATCCGCAACAGGAGGTAACGCACTACACGAGTTGACAACAACTCTGTCACCCAACGATTCAATCTTGTCTACAAACCACGTTTTGTCACAAAAAATCACGCGATAAAATGAACCGGAAATGACGCGAAACATCACACGCGCTAATACCCAGCGAAGAAGACGAAGACCCATGCCTTGCTCTGATTGGCTGTAGCTCATGACATCACTGAGGTTGAGTCGGGCGACAGCTCTGGATATCTAGCATTTTCTGGGCTCGGCGTCTGCGAGGCGTCAGCGAGCGTCTTTGATGCGTTGTTGGCTCTTTCATACTAACAGATTGGCGAGCGTTCATCGCCCGCTAATCTCCCGCGATTTGCACGCGATAACACCCTGACCTGTCGGCGAGCTCAACGATTTGCAAATCGGGCTTAAAATCCTGTAGTGTGAACTAGGCTTTAAGGTGGACGATGATCCAATTTTTTATTATTATTTTCATGTTATCACTGCGAAGCTGCTTTGATACAATCTGTATTGTAAAAAGCGCTATATAAATAAAGGTGACTTGACTTGACTTGTGGTCTAATAACGTAAGACACACACATGGAGGCCTTTGACTCTGTCAGTCTGGTGGTACTGCTGGGTTTTAGTTTTTTCAATAGCCTCCTTTCTTTTCTGGGCCTGTTATCTTGCTTCTTCCAAGTAGATACGTTTCTTCTCCTCCTCTTTCATCGCCTCTCGAATTGTTTTCGCCTCCAGTTTTTTCCATTGTTTTCCCTGTAAGGACAAAATCAGATTAGTTTGTTGTACTTTGTTACTGTAAACATCAAGTCTCATATTATAACCCTCAGAGACCCAGGTATTCTTTTATTTATTTATTTTTAATGAAGAAAAACTAAAATATCACATCAAGATGACATTCAAATTACAATTTAACATTACCAAATTGTAACAAACTTAGTATTATAATAGGGGCACAGACGGCGGGGCGGCAGTGGCTCAGTGGTTCATGTTGGTTGTCTACAAACCGGAAGGTTGGTGGTTCAATCCTCGGTTCCACCTGAGGTGTCCATGAGCAAGACACCTAACCCCAGCTGCTCCCGACGAGCTGGATGGCGCCTTGCATGGCTGCCGTCGTCCGTCGGTGTATGAATGAGTGAGTGAATGGGTGAATGTGAGGCAAATTGTAAAGCGCTTTTGTGGCCATTGGGTCTGTGAAAGCGCTATATAAATGCAGTCCATTTACAGACACAAAAAGAAAATTAGACAGCGAGAAGTCTAAATAAGGCTATATAAAAACAATAAAAGTGTCTGACAGGTTCTATAGACAGACGTCTTTAATAATCATAGTAATAATAATTCATAATTTAAATAAATTATTCTTATTTCTTAATAAAGACTCATAAAAAGGCCTATTTTCTTCCTTAAAAGTGATTAAAAAGTATGATGTTTACGCATATATAGTTTTAGGGTAAATTTGGGGGTTTTCAAGCAAGTATTATTGCTCAGTCAGTGAGACTAATGCTTTCTGTACACCTAAAGACTTTGAAAAGATTTAGAAAAGACTTTATAAGATTATCAGCTCACATCTAAAGATTTTGGGTTCAGTGTTTTTAGTCTCAGACTAAAGATTTTACATACACTGAATCTTGTAGTGACACTATTTACAAGACTACAACAAGATTATTTTAGCTTTTTTTTCCCACCAAATTCCTCCCATCATGCTCAGCAGTGATTTAACAAAAATGGAGGAGAAGCAGCTACAGTTAGCTATCATTAAATAATAATAATAATAATAATAAATTATCATTATTAAATTATATAAAGGCAACCATACAGTCATGTGAAAAAATAGGACACCATGAAAGCCTGTCTATTTTTCAACATACGGACATGTAATAACAATTTTAACAATACTGAAGGACCCAGTGATTTCTATAAACTATTTAAAAATAAGAAAGCCCTATTTAAGACTCTCTGTGAACTGTAATTTTAAAAGAATGCAATTTTTGAGGAGGAATAAATTAGGACACCCCCCATATATTTCCCCCACACTGCTTATGAGTGTGGAAAAGGATTTTAAAAGATATCAAAGGACTTTGACATCAGCCATTCCACCATTTTACCTCACTGAATTAATTTCAACAAAGGGGGGTATCACTAGTTATTAGGGGTCCTAATTTTTTCCTCCATTAAAATAGGCATTTTTATGCATATTTTTTGTTTGATGAGTAAAAATATGTTAATTTATATTGTTTAATTACAATAAATCACTTTCTTTTCCAGGAATGAAAAAAAAATCAAATTTGACATTATGTGAACATTTCTTAACTCTTTCCCCGCCAAACACGGAATTTTCCGGGTATCCGTGTTTTAGGTGGTATACGGTAAGGAAGACCCACGCGCATGTTTTGAAAGATTACACAACTCAAAGATCAAAGCAACAGACTGCGATCGTCTCTAACGTGAAGAAGTGGAGTAGTGAGAATGTAGCTCAAAATATCAGACAGACAAATGCAGAGGTATACGGCTGATCAAGTGCTGGAGGTGTTGATGGACTCGGAGTCCGATCACTCTTTATTTGATCATTCTGAATCTGATCGGGACGAAGTAGTCAGTGAGAGAGATGCACATGTTGTCACAGAAAGTTCTAGCCATGGACGTGCCGCAGATAGATCGTTCACCCGTCGATCTGGACGAAGACAAAGTTCACCTGTGTGTCGAAGATTGGACAGTGACAATTCAGACTGTGACATTACAGACTGTGATACTTCGGACAGTGAGTGGACGCATTCAAGGTCAAGATCTAATTCGTCGTTCCAAGGTGCCAGAACGCATAGAGGTAAGACAAGATAAGAAAATATCTGAGAAAGTGTTATATCTTTATGGGATATATATATATATATATATAACACTATAATATTTGTGTGTGAGTGTGCATGCATTTATGTGTGGCTGTGTCTGTAAATATGAGCGTGTAATGGCCCAATTGTTTCTCTCTTTGTGCACATTTAACACATTGTAATATATGTTTTTATATATATGTGTGTGTGTATCTAGGTCTGTTTATTGAAAGTAATTCCAATTATTTATATCATTATTCACAGGTAGAACACAGCGAGGCAGAACGCATAGAGGTAAGAAAACAAAATATCTGAGAAAGTGTTATATCTTTATGGGATAATATATATATATATATATATATATATATATATATATATATATATATATATATATATATATATATATAAACACTATAATATTTGTGTGTGAGTGTGCATGCATTTATGTGTGGCTGTGTCTGTAAATATGAGCGTATAATGGCCAAATTGTATCTCTCTTTGTGCACATTTACCACATTGTAATATGTATTTATATATGTGTGTGTGTATCTAGGTCTGTTTATTGAAAGTAATTCCAATTACTCATATAATTATTTACAGGTAGAACACAGCGAGGCAGAGGCCGGATGCGTCAAGTACATCAACACGGTGCTGCTGGTGACCAAACAAGGGCCACTGTGAACCATCCTGATCCAGCTGAAGATGATGAACCTGATGATCCTGAGTGGCATGAAATTAACTGGCAGCCAAAAAACATTCCCTTCACTGAGAATCCTGGGCCTATCGGTGATGCTGCTGCTCTTGAGTCAGAACAACCTGTAGACTTTACTGAGTTGTTCATTTCTAATGTACTGATTCAGAACATTGTTGATCAGACCAACCTGTATGCAGATCAGTGTATTCAGGCTATGGATGACACTTCACAACATGCTAGATATCATGCATGGAAGCCTGTCACAGTTTCAGAAATGAAAACTTTCATGGGGCTCCTTTTTCTCACTGGTATCATTCATAAGCCTGAACTTGATATGTATTGGTGTACAGATGACATGTTAGCTACCCCCTACTTCAACAAGGTCATGCCTCGCAACAGGTTTGAAATCATATGGACATTTCTTCACTTCAATGATAATACAACAAGGCCAGACAATTGTACTGACAGACTGTACAAAATCCGCCCTGTCTTGGATCACCTTGTGTTTAAATTCCGCGAAATGTATTAGCCCAAGTCAAACATTTGCATTGATGAGGGGATGTTTCTGTGGCGTGGGCGCCTAGCTTTCAGGGTGTACAATCCCCATAAACCCATCAAATATGGAGTAAAATCCTACATCTTGTGCGATTCTGATACAGGGTACTGTTTTAACATGAAGCCCTATTGTGGGGAAAGCGCTGCCCTGGGAGACACGGTTGTCTCTCTTCTTGATCGCCTAGTAGGTCACGGCTACAGATTGTTTATGGACAACTTATACAACTCTGTACGACTGTGTAAGCGCCTACTTGATATGAAAACCCATGTACGTGGTACAATTAGGAAAAACAGAGGTGAACAGACCAAAACATTGTGTACTACCCTTTTATCAGGAAGTCACACAAGTGGACGAAGAAATTTGTCATGTATCTGTTTCAGATCAGTTTGTTCAACGCTTTTGTCATTTACAAAGCAAAAAACCCACAGGGTAATTGTAACACTCTTCTCTCATTCATCCAGAGTGTTATAAAATCATGGACCAGCCAACAGTATGCTGGTGGTGGGGAGGAAAGTGTTGAGCCCCCAACTGAAAACACTCCAAGAGCACCATACAACACTGACCCAACCAACCGGCTGAATGTCAGTTTTGCTGTTCATGAATTTGTTCCAATCCTGCCCACTCCCAAAAAGCAACACCCAACCAGAGGATGCAGAGTTTGTGTACGTAAGGGGTTGCGGAAGGAGACCTCGTTCTACTGCAAAAGTTGTGGTGTCCCCTTACATCCTGGGAAATGTTACTCCGTGTACCACTCAAAAGCAAATTACACTGCCTAAATTTGATATATTTTACATTTATTTATAAATTTAATTTATTTTGGAAGGTTTTATATATGAAGGAAACGACATCTGAATGTATTCTGCTTGAAAATGCACTTGTTTGATAAAAATGCCTTTTTCTCAGCTTTTTGTCAAAAATGTTGTGTTTTTGACAAAACCCATGGGCGTAGTAAGCAAAAAAAAAAGTGGGTGGGTCCTCCCCCAGAAAAAATGTACTAATGCCATTTCATGTATTCTGATGCCTTTTAATTAAACAAGTAAACTAAACTCGCCTCCACGTCGTGCATTAAATGCACAGCTATCCGTGGATTATCCCGCTGCTGATACCATGGTCATTTGCCAGCATTGACAACTTAAAGCTGTTATTGATGTTTGCAGCGCAATATTTGACTGGACGGGTACAACGGGCGGTTATTTTCGTGAGTTGCGGCTCGTTGAGAAAAATAATGTAGCGATTCAGCGGAAATGGAGTTTAATTCATTAGGGCATTCCTCAAGTGTAATGGATTTCACTGACAGCGCTCTAGAAAGCGAACAGACATATGCGCTGAATGTAAAAGTGAGTGGGTCCAATATCATTGGTCTTAAAAAGTGGGTGGGTCTTGTCCCACCCATATACAATAGTTCCGACGCCCATGACAAAACCTACCTCTGTTCAAGTGGCAATAAAAAAAGAACAAATGAAGATAAAATAAAATCGTTTTTTTGTTTAAAAGCAGAGGCTCAGATCTTTATTTTGATATATAGCATCTTCATATATTTGTCACGAGTCTATGATGGAAGACTCAAATGCAGAAATGTGTTAACAGGTTTTATTGAAAGACAGTAGACAAGACGAGAGATGGTGGTGGGTGAGGAGGTGAATAGTCCAAACAGTAGGCAGGGAGGAGGCACAAAGACAGGCAGGCTGAGAGAGCGCTGAATCCAACCCAGGATGATAGTAGGAGGGAGGGTTAGTGATGTGACATTTGAACCGAGGCATCGGAGCTTGTGTCGAGAAAAAATGGGCGTGCCAGATGAAGCCGCGATTCGAGGCTTGTGTTGTTAACGTGAAAATCACGTGACTGATGACAAACGAGGCCTCGGTTTGTGTGGATACGTCATCGGTTCGGTCTGAGTGTCGCTTCCGGATAAAGGGGTTCGAAACTCGCGCCACCTTGTGGGTGTTGTCAGGAGTAGTAGAAGCTAGAAGCAGTTGTAGTGTCAGAGAGTCAGAGATCTCTCATTGTCGTTATTGTGTCATATACGTGTTAGGGCTGTATATTATTACATTATATCAGGTTAGAATAGTTATTATTAATAATAATTGTTATTATTAATTATAGAAGCTATATTATAGTCTTGTTATATTAATTAGATAAGATTATTTGGATTGCTTTGTATTTTTGGTAGCTTAGATTTTTGGATCTGGACTGCTTTTTCATTTGGATTGCCCTTTTGGATTTGTTTGCTTTTTATGACATCTTCCTTTATCCTGGTAATGGAGCCAGCAAGAAAGAGGAGATCCTCCCCTGTCTGGGCTCAACAGAAGCATCAGTATCTTCATTTATACCCGCTGGCACTGACATTTTATGTTCCCCTGCATCCTCTGTTCCTTGTGAAAGGATATTTTTCCAAGGCTGGAGAGGTTTTGTCCAAGAAGAGGAATTGTCTAAACCCCAACACACTTCAAAAAAATTCATTTTCTCAATAAAAATCTATTGCAATCCTTCCTTCATCCACCCCAAACTGTGGTGTTTACAGCAGTTTACTTTATTACACTCCCTCGAGTCCCTCCACCATAAGCACTGCACTCAACACAGTCCCTTTTGTTGTTCATACTGTCACTATCCAATTTTTTTTTTTTGAATAAATTAATTAACTGTGTGTGTGACAGTTGTCTCTGTACAAGTAAATGCAGACAGAGAAAGATACACGTTTTATTTCATACCCAGGCAATGGACAAATGTCTGCACAGATCTCTTTATTATTGCAAATGAAAGGTTACAGAGAAATTAACAGTGAGAAGAAGATAAATAAATAAAACAGAGCAGGAGGGGGGCGGGTCATTGGTTCAGAATGAATTAATTTGCCTGCTATTTCTTTGCACAGTAGCTAGGTGTCACTAGTGAGCAATGCTGAATGAAGCTTCGAGTAATGAACCTTTGGGTGAAGCAATGGGCTGCGAGGTCTCAGTGGTTCAGGAAGCCTCATTTTGCCATCACTAGGGAGGGTAGACACAGAAGGCCAGCAAGAGACTGTCTTGCTGCTTGGCTGATGGTATAAGCGGCCAGGGAAGCTCAGCTTGGAGGACAAACTAGGGAAGACAAAAGACACAGAAAGCACAAGAAACGACAAGACTAGACGAGGAGATTTAAGTTAGCTCTGACTAGAAATTAGTAGACTGTCAAACAAACAATGTAGCACAACGTCTATACAGAAGAACAACATCTAACGAACTGGCAACACATGAGGGCAAGAGAACACATATAAAGGGTGTAGTGATAATCAGATAGGTAATCGAGCCAGCTCTGGTATGGGGAGTGAATTAACTAGATTCTAATTTAGTTAAGTTCCCCTTAACTTCCATTCGTGAAACAAAGGGGATAGTGTTTTGAATTGATTAAATCATTGACTCTGACTCGCACATGCAGCATCTTTCTCTAATGAATGAACAACGGAATGCTTTGCTTACGAGTTGAGTCAGCTCTGGACATGTGACTCGAGATGAGATCACGAGTCCGGCCGAAGACCACGCAACCCCTTAGGGTCTCCTTGGTTTGACCACCTCACAACAGAGCATTGTGCAATGAGTAAGTAAATTCACAATGCTGCCTGAGTGCTGACAGACAATTGCCCATTCCACACACACACACACACCACGGATGGACAGATGCACGCCACACATACAGATGCACGAACACAGACGTCTTTGTGCATAACTTAGGATAAGAATGTCCTATAAATGTATATAACACAGAAATTGTATCCAACCTTCCTGTACGCATGCATATCTTATTAGCTTTGCTTTATAATAGAAGTGTGGTTTGCTAGTGTATAGCTCTGAAGTCTAAGAGTTCATCAAAAGAATGTTCCAACACACAAACACCAGCCATGGAACTTTTCAGAGAAAAGTACCTCTACATGTTTTAAATGTATTAATTTTTGTGCTTAGATGTCGTCACATGCCATACTGGAAGTACTGACAATTTTATTGTGTGTTAAGCAAACTTTAAAGATGCTTGTAATTCTGCATATGAATGTAACTCTATATTCCGATAATCTTCATGTGACGTGTCTGATATGTCTGTAATTCGCTCAATCTAACGGAGCCGAATTCCGATAGCATGATGAAGTAAGGTGCATTATTTTACACATTTCATATTTCAGGAGCCAAACGGCTCAAATACAATCTCCTCATGAAGTGGGCATCCCCCACAGGACAAAGAGAACTGTGTCCGCTTCAGATCCGGTCATGTGTGGTTCGCGCAAACAGAGGCGTGAACCCTCCTCTCCATAAGAGACACAGAAGTTTCTTTCGGAGAACACGAGAGCTTTTTCCTGTGAGAGGTTTCTGGATCCATGGCCCCCTTAGGGGGGGGCTTTCTCCGTTTTCTTTAATCTTTCTTTATTTTCGTCTTCGGACTTTTCTTACGTTTAGTTTCAGTGAAATGAACGTAATCGGCAACTTCAACCTGAAGGAGACTCTTTGAATCTGCAGCGACCACGCTCGCCCGGAAGAGCTGAGAAAGCACGCACCCGCTCCTAAGGACACACACGCAAGACACAGTTTTCCTCAGCAACACCAGGAGAACCAAAGACCTTTAAGCCTTCATTCAAACTAACGCGCTTTGCCCGCTCTGAAAGACCACGTGAACGCGTGACGCAAGGACAGAGACACAGACACATGCTTTCTTCACATCACGCCAGAGAGCGTTACCTGTGCAAGTAACCGTTTACCATTCTTTCAAGGTTTAAGATCTGTTGAGTCTTGTTCTAACTCAGAGGTTCTGTGTCTGTGATGAATTTTGCCAAACCAGAAGATCTCTCATCTTCTTTCTCTCTCTCTCCCTCCCCATCTTTCTCCCTCGCAATCTCTCTCTCTCTCTCACTCCTGTTTGTTACTCGTCTGTATCGTTAGTTTTACTGTTTAACTGTACATACATGTATCCTGTGTTCAAATGTAGAATTCTGTATCCGTAGTTTCAATTATTAAAACCATATTCTTGATTGATCCTGAAGTGCTCATTTACAAGTCAATGAAATGAATATCTCATAGCTACAAAGCTTTACAAGTTGTTACTATATCAGTAACGTAAATTTTATAAACACGAGAAAAATTAATGTTCACGGCCGGAACATTGAGATTTCTTGGAGTTTATAAAAAGGGATAACTTTGTTGAGAAGTTGGTAAGTTAATCTTACGGCTGTTTGCTGGACAAACCGATTGTTTGATAAACTAAATTAATTCCCTTAAAGTTGTCTCATATAATCGATCTGTAATGAGACCATTGATATATGAATGAGGAATTATAATTCGTTATGATTTACCATTCATATATACAATCGATCCATTTTCAATTTCGATAATTTAACTGTAATATGCAATATATTAATCATATTCATGATTAATTATTAAAATTCCCTATGCATAATTTGAGCTAATTAAGGCACATCTCGATGTGGCTACAAGGGAGCTAAGAACAAGAGGAACAGGTGAGCACACTCAGACAAGGAACAGGTGACCACACTCAGGTAAACGAGGACTCAAACAAGGGAGCAGAGAACATGAGGAACAGGTGACAACACTCAGACAAAAGAGGACTCAACTAGACAAGAGGGTGTGGTACAGGGAAACAAGGAGGCAGGAACAGAGGAGCACATGGCCAACACAAACAAAACCATATGTTAAAGCACAACACAAACATAGAGACATGAAACAAAGACAACACAGACAAAGCTGCCAGAGCAAGACCCTGACAATATTCATAGAAGAAAATATTCTGCGGGCCATTAAAATTTAGTGAAAATCGTCAAAAACCCTGGCGGTGGCTGGCAACTTTTTTTTTTAAATGCTGGCGGGGAAAGAGTTAATAAAGAGTTGACTATTTAATGGGATGACCTAACTTTTTCACATGACCGGGGGTTATGAATCTATATCATTATATGATGAGAACAATAGTTTGAACTAAATGTCTTGAAAGGGTATAATTTTAAATGCTGTGTTGAAATTATGGATATAAGTGTTTCTTTGTTGTGACTGATGGCTTCCTGTTTCCGGTTTTCTGAGAATGATTTTATTGGTTGTTGATTGTTTTACGTCACTATGACTACGCTAGGACTTGCGATAATATCAAACATGTTTAATATGAAAGACTAGAGAAAGACTGGCATAAATCGGGTCGCCGACTGCAGATTATCACCTCACAATTAACGATCGAGACGACAGGAGCGCGCCGAGACTCCAGTAAGATTCCTAAAGACTGCCGGTCTTTAGTCTGGGACTGTGAAAATCCTTTGGTGTACGCCCGGCATAAGAAGTACGGAGCCCCGCACAATAAGAGAGCTACAAATGCAGTAACTCCAGTGCGATGCTGTAACTCACAGCTATGGTGTTGGGTTTGACGAGCTCTTTAGAGCGCATGTGCAGCGCCTCCCGCTGTTCAGCCGCTGCTATGACACTTCTGCTGTGACGATTCACTCAGTTCACACTGTCCTGCATGCGCTGCCAATCAGATTTGGACAAAACTAGGTCTGCTTCGTATTTCTCTATCTCCCAACTCACAACTGTATGCATTAGACAACAAATTTCCAAGTTATTATAAAAGCCATTCCTGATAAGCTGGAGTCGATGGTTGCGGTCAACACCTCTCATATTGCCGGATTGAGAGAAAAGCTTAACGCCGTGTGTGATGATGTGAATGAGGTGAAGACCAAAGTTTCCCAAGTCGAGTCATCACTGTTGAAAGAGAACAATCGGATCGGCGCATTGGAGTCACGCATCACTGAATTGGAGCGGTATTCCAGACGTTGGAATTTGAAATTACACTGCCTGTCAGAAAATATCGATGAAAAAAATGTAAGGAGAGAAGTGGTTGGCATTTGTCAGAAATTACTGCCAGAGCACGCTGACCATCTTCCGGATGTGATCGACACAGTGCATCGTGTTGGTGTGAAGAAAATTCTGCCCGCGGTGTAATCATCCAGTTCTCTTCGCGTATACAAAGAGCAGCAGTACGGGCGGCAGCCAAAAACTCCGCTTATCTACGGGAAAATGGTCTGCGTTTTAGAGAGGATCTTTGCAAGGCCGACAGAGATGGTAGAATGAAGTTGTGGCCGTTAGTCGACGAGGCACGGAAAGCAGGAAAGGTTGCCTACTTTGTAGCTGGTCGGGCCTTCGTGGAGAAAAAAGAGATCTTTCCGCCAAGCTGAGTTCTCTCAACTTTGAGATAAGGTGTTCTGTTTACATGCTTGTTAAAAAATAAATTAATTTGTTTTTCATCGCCACTTGTTTTTTTCCTAGCTATTGTTCATATTTTGTCCGGTTATACCTACGAAACTACAGTTGATGTGGCACTTTTTGTTCTCATCAAAATATTGTTCAAGTGAATTCAATTTTTATTTTGATGTCTTTAACTTTAACTTCACTCAATGCAAAGAATCGAAATAGCCTTACCTTGTGTCAAATAGTAAACTGAGCAACAGGAGAACTGGATATTAATTATAAAAACACTTGCACGCTCTTGCCGTATCTACGGACTGACCGCTTGTTCTTTAGGAGTGGGTAGATGTTTCTCCCTGCCTTCTCGGCTGTTTCGATGACTTGATTGGCGTATTTCTGGAACTGGGTTTCCTCCTCAACAATGAGAGCGGTGTTCTTTGCCACAAAGTCTTTCAGTTCTTTTTTCGCACGACGATTTGTGGTCTAATAACGTAAGACACGAACATGGAGGCCTTTCACTCTGTCGGTCTGGTATACTGCTTGGTTTCTGCTTTCTCAATGGCCTCCTTTCGTATCTGGGCCTGGTATTTCTCTTCTTCTATGTCGAGACGTTTCTTCTCCTCTTCTTCGATCGCCTTCAGCTTGCTGTGGACGCCAGCAGCGTAGGCGCCGGTGCCGTACTTTTGCAATCAGGCGTAGACAACGTAAACCATCCCGTGAGTTTCTTCTCTAAGAAATGTAATTCTGCCAAGCGAAAGTACTCCACTATCAAGCAAGAGACTTTGGCTTTAGTCCTGGCTATTCAACACTTCGAAGTGTATTTAGGTTCTACGGTACATCCAGTTAAGGTCTATACTGACCATGAGCCACTCAAATTCCTCAGTCGCATGTACAATTCAAATCGTAGGTTAATGCACTGGAGTCTATTGCTTCAACCTTTTAACCTCCAAATTGTGCATATCCGGGGAATAGACAATATTATCGCAGATGCGTTGTCTAGGGTGGATGCTTAATAGTATTAAAAAAAAAATTTACTTGGAAAAAAACAAAAAAGTTTTGTTTATTGTGAAAATGAACTTGCATGTGTCCTTATTTACTGAATATGGTCTATACATTTAGGTTATAGTTAATAATAATAAAACAACACTATATGTATATATATATATATATATAGATTGTTTTGGGATTTATTTTAATTTATTGGGGTTGCTAACCTAATGTAAGTCTGTAGCAATACTAGGTATTGCGTCGCGCATAGTTGCGATTTGCCTGTGACTTAACCATATACGCCAAAATAATACATTCCTGTGTAATTCTAACTTCTTTTCGCATGCAGATACGCCTTGAACGAGGAAGTGATTATTTATAGCTGGAACTCTATTGTCTGGGTTGGCTCAAACATTGAGCTGAAACACAGAATTCGTGAGTAAAAATGAGTGTTCTCATGTTCCAGGTATGGCGACAGGTCACCATTTCGGGGTGGGGGTATTACGTCCCCCAGCTCTGGTGTTTGTTCCTATACATGTGTTTGAGCGCAATGTCTCTTCCCCAATTACAGATGAGCCACACCTGAGCGAAGCCTACTTGCGCTATAAAAGGCTCCTGGGACCACACCTGAGCGCGCACACAGAGCCTGAGAACAGAGTCGATGCACAGCCGTGCTTTCTGTCTTTTGAGTGACTACCGTCCAGCCGTCCACCCGGCAGTAGAAAGCGTTCCGCCTTTGTATTTTTTTTGTTAACCTACCTATTATTTGATAACAATTCTGTTAAATAAACATACCCCTACTTTTGATACGAGCTGATCTGTGTGCGTCTCTCCTTTGTTAAGGGTGGTGTCCGTCTGCCCGTAACATAGTGGAGGCTCGTCCGAGATCAATAGTTTAAGTCGGACTTTAGTGTTTAGTGTTAATTGCGGAACTTTTGAACGCTACAACATTTTGGTGAGTATTCTGGTGGGCAATTTTGATTGTCTGTTCCTTTGTTTAGTCGACTGTTTATTATATTTTGGTGGATATCTCAGGAGGGGGCACGTGGGACGCCTCGAGCTGAGTAAGCCACTGAAGATTGCGTAGGTATTTAGGATTTTTTTGGGGGGTTTTATGTGTAGTTAGTTAGAGAAGTTGGACAACATTTTGCCTATCAGAATACCTTTTAGTTTAGTTGTATAGCTTGTGATATATTGTGGCATATCGCCTATTTAGTGAGCGCTGGTACTCTGTATGTACTAGCGTATTGGTTAAATTTGTGGATGGACATTAAAATTCGTGGTCGTTTGTAGCCTATATTGTGCTTTTCGTTTGACCACTTTAGATATTCGCTACTTTGTAGCTTTGTTGCAGTTAAACTGCTTTGGTGAGTGTTTATTTGTACTTGATTTTGGTGCGCTTTAAGCGTCTTTTCGCGTTATAAATGGCAACAGAGGAAGCTACCTATTATTTGATAACCCTTCTGTTAAATAAACATACCCCTACTTTTGATACGAGCTGATCTGTGTGCATCTCTCCTTTATGTTAAGGGTGGTGTCCGTCTGCCCGTAACACCAAGTTATTAAAAAAAGCTCTGATTATTATACATTATTTTCAGATATTTTGTTGTGCAGTATTTTTATTTTTATTTTATTTTTTTATTGAAGGAAAAGGAAAACAATACAACAATAACACAATACAGAATTTCCATTCACAGATACAATTTATCCTTTCCCCCCTTTTTTGTTTTTTCCACCCACTTTTTAAACATATATGTACATGTACACGGACACATATACACATTACAAAAAAAATAAAAAATAAAAAAAATAAAAAAACCTAAAACAAAACACTCTAATAAAAATTATTAGAAATAAGTAAATTAGATCACAGAGTGTCGTGTTAGAAATAATAAACAACCCCCCACCCACTCAGCTCACCATGACCAACACACATATTACTGGTTAATTATGCAATACAAACAGTACAATAATAACAGGCACACATTCAATTGGGTAGTACCTTTAAATTTGCGAAATAGGAAATAAAGGGTTGCCATTTAAGGAAACATTTGACTGTACATCCTCTCAATGTATATTTAATTTTCTCAAGTTTTAAAAAATACATGATGTCTCTGAGCCAACGGGAGATAGAAGGATATTTAGCAGACTTCCAATGTAGCAATAAGGAGCGTCTTGCTAGTAAGGATGTGAAAGCTATGATGTCCTTTTGTGTACGGTTAAGTGCCATTGAGGGGTCAGGAATCCCAAATATAGCAATCAGAGGACAAGGTTGGAGATTTACCCCAAGAACAGAGGACATAATATTAAAATAAGCCACCCAGAAATCTACCAAATCAGGAAAAAAAAAAAACATGTGGCTAAGATGACAAGGGGAGCCATGGCATTTATCACATTTGTCTTCCACTTCCGGATATATTTCAGATAGTCTAAGCTTAGAGAAATGTACCCTATGTAAAACCTTGAATTGAATAAGTCCAAGACGAGCACAAGAGGTGGTAGAACGTATCCTCTCTATGGCCTGTTCCCAAGACTCCTCCTGTATTTGTATTCCCAGTTCCCTTTCCCATGTACCCTTAAGTTTGGCATTTGAAAAGTCGCTAAAAGCTAAGATAATGTCATATAGCTTTGAAATGATTCCCCTGTGATGAGGGACAAATGAAAGCATGGTTTCCCACCGATGCACTGGAGGTAAAGAAGGGAAATTAGGGAAAAACTTAGCCACAAAGTTGCGAGTTTGAAAATAGCGAAACAGATGAGTAACAGGGAGTTCAAAGCGAGATGAGAGATTGGTAAAGCTATCAAAGACACCATCTACATATAAATCTCTGAATTGCAAAACACCCTTGTCATACCACAGTGAAAATGTCGAGTCCGAAAGTGATGGAGGAAATAAATGGTTGTTATTGATAGGACCCAAGGAAGATGCATCTACAAATTTAAAGTGTCGTCTAAATTGATACCAGATTTTGAGTGTGTTAAGAACCACTTGATTATCAGTGTATAGAGAAGGTTTCGTAGGTAAAGAGGAATAAAGTGGAGCAGGTATAGAAGATCCCCTAGAGGATGATAGTTCTAGTTTACACCAAGAGGATCCAGGGGATTTTAACCAGTAGCAAAGTTTATGGATGTGAGCCGCCCAATAGTAAATTAAAAAATTAGGTAATGCCAGTCCTCCATTAAGTCTGCATCTCTGCAGTAGAGTTTTACAAATCCTAGGTGATTTTCCGCCCCAAATAAAAGAACAAATTATCTTATCAAATGAGTCAAAGAAATGTTTTGGCAGAAAAAGAGGAATTGACTGGAATAAAAAAAGAAATTTCGGTAAAATATTCATTTTAACAACATTAATCTTGCCGATTAGTGAA